GTGTGACCACTTTTGCTGTAATCTTTTGCTCCTGTAACAGCACAATTTACCAAATTGTGGGACATCAAAGGGAGTTTCAACTCTATGTAGTGTATATATGCTGTTTATTAAGTAATGTCTTCCAAAGCTCTGATGCCTTCACGAAATTATCCCTCGAGCCCTGATGCCAACAGTCAGCTGATTTAAACAAAAATACGCTGCTGTGCTGCTGAGGGTTCCTTCTTCTCTTCTGCTTAAAGCAGCGAGATAAGGTAGCAGGTCGACCTCCCCAAGATGGCGCCTGTAATTTCTGCGCCGCGACAGTCAATGCGGTAAGTATCTCTGTGCTGCTAACGTCTTGTTTACGTCCATCTTCTCCTTTCATCGGGATGGCAAGGCAACGTTCAGTGTTATACCGCCCCCAGTGGTCTGGAGTTTGGACCTGATTAAAAATCCCGCAGAAATCCTGACAAACACACATTAACTACAATCATTCGCTGTATTCAAGCACATCTATTCATATTTTCTATAAAAACTTAACTTTCCTTCCACATCAATCAGTCTATTGGACTTTTTATTCATATTTTAAGAGCAGTAATTGAATATCAGCTATAACGAATGTTCTGTTTAAATAAACTTATTCTTCAATTACAACACTGTTTGTAGTGCAGACACAAAGAGGGAACGAAAGGAGGAGCATGGTTTCATCTTAGTAAAAATAAAAAGTTAAAAACACACAGAGGGAAATAAGGGTTTAATTTCCAAAAGCCTTTTTGTCAGAGTGGGGAATACATGGAGTTTGTGCTTTTGTCTTTTTGAGCATTTTAGGGATTCTAGTTGAAATGGAATCAATAGTTTCTGTAAACTGGCTGAAACCTTTGAGTTCTTGTTTATGTGTGAATTTGTTTGTTATGTGAAAACTTTGAGAAAACATTTTAAACTTGGTAAAAAAAAATAAAATTAAAAAAAATAGGTTCTTATTTCCTGAGACAAAAATAACTCTGTTTTGAATAACAGGTTCAACAAGTCCTGAAGGTCATACACCTTTTCTACCCTAAACTCAGATGATGCTGAACAGGCCCGTTGCAACAAGGCAAGCAAGCCATGCTATTGCCCAGGCCCCCCAACTGCCCGGGGGGCCCCAGACAATGGCTGTCCTGGTTATAAACTGCATCTAATGACCAACAGCATGAGCGCTAATGTTCCCTCAAAGCTGCGCGCTTGCACAATTAAGCAACACTCGTGCGTTCTCAGCCCACAATAAAATCTATATCAATAAAATAAAATCCAACACAAACTGTAATTCCATTAGACCAATACATTTTTACTTTATCATTTTGAATCCATGAAACATTCATTTTACAACCTGAAACAAACAATGAAAATATGAGAAACAACTGTAGTCCCGACCGAATTTCTTACATATTATGGAGAAAGGGAGCCCGGTTTTTGCTTGCCATACCAAGTTTAATAAAGTAATACTGTAATAATAAAAAATGAATGGATTTATCATTATTTTATTTCATTAGGGCGGTTAAAGCATCTCAGCCTGCTGGATGTCCCAGCCAGTTTTATTGATTAAACAGAATTTGATATAGTATGATATAGTATAGTATGATCTAGCTACTTTTGAAAGCCAGTTTTAAATATCACTATCATATTTGTTTTACAATAAAGATTAATACATTTAAGAGTTGGATTTTGGATGACTATGTTTAATATAACCTCAGTGTCCTTTAAAAAAAGTTCAGCAATGTACTTATTCAGCACATTGAAAAGCTACAGGTGCATAAATAAATGATCCCAGAGGAAGACTACTTGTCGGCCAAAATGATTTAGCATTCTAGCTTCCAGAACAATGAAATTCAGATTTGTAACAGCCCTCCAATCCAAGGGCGCAGATAGCATGTACGTCAGGGGTGTTCTGACGTACACAGATTCGAATGACCCTCAATCCGTCCCCCCCACTTTTATTTAAAAAAAAAAAAAAAAAAAA